ATTTTCAAAGAATATTTATACCCGCCATATGGAAAGAGAGGGTATACAGGAGAGATAAAAACCTGTGAAGAAAGTCTTAAAGTCGGGCGAGGCCGACTTTATGATACCCTACACCACTTTGCTAATTTATTAGAGCTCCACATAACAATTAAAAGTTTTTATGGGAGAATTCAATCATACACGCTATGATTATAATTGTAATTTAAAGTTCAAAGGACTAAATATGCCGAAGCATTTGTATCTTTTAAATTCGGAATTGTATTGCCCATTTGGTGCACAATTAATTTGAAATCGGATAAATATATATATGGGAGCTATATCCAAATCTGAACCGGTCTCGATAAAATTTGGCAAAGATATATCTGAGCTGTATTGACATATTTCCCTGAATATCGTTGTTACGGAGTTCATATTACGGCTGTGGGTAACAAATATGACAAATCGGATGAACAATATATATGGGAGCTATAGCTACATCTGAACCCATCTTCACCAGATTTGACATACTAGCTTCTAGGTCCTAGGTTCTTCGGTCGTAAGTGCCAAATTCCACCCCATTTGGACAAATATTATACGTTTGGTGCAGAATCAAAGGTAAATCGGACGAAGTTATATATGGGAGCTATATCCAAATCTGAACCGATCTCGATAAAATTTAGTAAAGGTATTTCTGAGCTGTATTTGATATATTTCCCCAAATATTATTGTTTGCAGAGTGCATATTACGGCGGCGGTGGACAAAAATAACAAATCGGATGAACAATATATATGAGAGCTATAGCTATATCTGAACCGATTTCGATCAAATTTGGCATACATATTTCAGGCCTAATTTGGGTGTATATGCAAAATTCCATACAATTCGGGCTGATATTACACGTTTGGTGCACAATAAAAGGCAAATCGGACGATGATATATATGGGAGCTATATCTTAATTTTGACCGATTATTTCCAATTTCAATAGGGTTCGTCCTTGGGCCAAACAAATGATCTGTGCAAAATTTTATGTGGATCGGGCAATAAATGCGACCTGTACTTTGTTTACAAAAATACATGGACAGACGGGCGGACGGACATGCATAAATCGACTCAGAATGTGATTCTATGCAGATCATCAAAAGGAACTATGGGTCTATCTCGTTTCCTTCTGTCTGTTACAAACAAATGCACAAAGACATAATACCCTGACCACCTTGTGGTGTTGGGTATAAAAACTGCAACAAAGTCAAACCCCATAATTTTTACATTTTTATATCCTCCATCATACTATGGAGGGTATATTAACTTTGTCATTCCGTTTGTAACTCCTCGAAATACTCATGCCAGACCCAACAAAGTATATATATTCTTGATCAGCGTAAAATTCTAAGTCGATTTAGCGAAGTCCGTCTGTCTGTCTGTCCATCCGTCTGTCTGTCCGTCTGCCTGTTGTAATCACGCTATCTTTCGGATGAATTGAGATAGAAGGCTAAAATTTTGCACACATGTTTATTTTTTCAGTAGGTCGGTTAGGTTCGTAAATGGGCAATGTAGGTCCACGTTTTCATATGGCCCCCATATAACAGTACCTCCCGATATTCGGTATTTTGATGATTTAAGCGACATTATTAACCGGAATTTTTTAAAATGTTGTATTTGAAGATCGCAATGTATACTACAACCTACGACAGAAAATTGTTTGTGCAGGTCCACGTCTTTGTATAGACCCCATATAACGGTACCTCCCTATATTCGGTATTTTGGTGATTTTAGCGTCATTATTCACTGGAATTTTTTCAAATTACGCATTTAGGCTTAATAATGGAAACTACAGTCTGTGACAGAAAATTTTGTATGCAGGTCCAGTTCTTCGTATAGGCCCCATATATCAGTACCTCCCTATATTCGGTATTTTAACGACTTTAGGTACAATACTTCACAGAAATTGCTTGAAATGTCGTATTTGAAGTTCGTAATGGATGCTACAGCCTATGACAGAAAATTGTCTATGGTAGTTCAGGTCTTCGCACAGCTCCGATATAACGGTACCTCCCTATATACGATGTTTTGATGATTTTAGCTACATTATTCACCGTTTATTTCAAGTTCCGAATTTGAATTTGGTAATGACTTATGACAAACAATGCCTATGTGGGTCCACGTCGTATAGACACCAATATTACGGCTATATTCGGTATTTTTAGAATTTTAACAGCATTTTTTAAGGATTTTATTTCCAAATTAGTTCCAAATGGTGGAGGGTATTTAAAGTTCGGCCCGGACGAACTTATTGCTTTTTAATTTGTTTTTTTTTAATTTTATTGAATGAAAGCAAAAAATGTCGAAAATAGCATCAAATTTTAGAATAAGTTTAGATTTCTTCGAATTGGTCACCTTTGGCACGAATTATGGCCTTCAAACGGCCAATGAAACCGCCACACGCTACCCGAATGTTGCTCTGCGGTATTTTGGCCCAATCCGGGCGAAGCGCTTGCTTGAGCTGATCGACACTTTGGTATTTTTTAGTGCCAACCTTGCTATCGAAAATACTTCAGACACAATAGTCCAACGGATTGGTATCCGGAGATTTTGGTGGCCATTGTGCGCTGAAAATGAAGCGAGCAACCTCATTTTGTAACCAATCTTGGGAGGCGCTTGCTGAGTGCGATGGTGCTGAGTCCTGTTGGAATGTCCAAGGTCGGCGGCCAATATGTTTGCATGTCCAGGGCTTTAATACACCCTCCAGTATATTTTTGCGATATTTCGCCGGCATTTATTCTGACGCCGCGGTCGATTAATACGAGCGGGGAGCGACCACACCATGTACATGGCCGACTTGAGGCTTGAGTTCCGGTTGCCAACCTAAGGTGAACATTTTCAGCTGACCTCGTTGGCAAGTAAACCCGATCATTTTGTTTGTTTACAAACTGCTGGAGAACAAGAGTTTTCTCATCGGAGAGAGAGAAAACCAAATTCGGCAGTTCACCACCGCCACTTTCGGCCAAGCGAAGCAACTCTTTAGCCATTTTGAGTCTATTTTCTTTCGGTTGCGGTGTAAATTTTTGCACTTTTTGGAATCTCAATGGCCTTACCCCGAGCCCATTTTTATACCCTCCACCTTGGAAAGGATAATGTATATATATTCATAATCAGCATGAAATTCTAAGTCGATTTAACGATTTCCGTCCGTCTGTCTATTGAAATCACGATACAGGCCACATTATTTGACGTAGAGCGTCAAAATTTAGCAGAATAATTTGTATTGTGTCTAGGATGGTTGGTATTGAAAATGACATATATCGGTCCACGTTTTGGGAAAGTCCCCATATAACGGTACCTCCCGATATTCGGTATTTTGATGATTTTTGCCGCATTTTTTCACGGATTTGTCTAAAAATTGGTATTTGTTGGTCATAATGTGTTCTAGCTCCGGAAACATTGCATGTATAAGTCCACGTTTTGGTATACCCCCCATATAACGGTACCTCCCGGTATTCGGCATTTTGATGATTTTTGCCACAGTTTTTCACAGATTTGTCTGAGAATTAGTATTTGTTGGTCATAAAAGGGTTCTAGCTCCGGTGGCGAAACATTGCATGTATAAGTCCACGTTTTGGTATAGCCCCCACATAACGGTACCTCCCGATATTCGGTATTTTGCTGATTTTTGCCACATTTTTTCACAGATTTGTCAGAGAATTGGTATTTGTAGGTCAAAATGGGTCCTAGTACGTGTGACGAAACATTGTATGTATAGGTCCACGCTGTGGTATAGCCCCCATATAACGGTATCTCCCGATATTCGGTATTTTAATGATTTTTGCCGCATTTTTTCATGGATTTGTCTAGAAATTGGTATTTGTTGGTTATAATGTGTTCTAGCTCCGGAAACATTGTATGTATAGGTCCACGTTTTTCTACAGGTACCTCCCGATATTCGGTATTCTGATGATTTTCCCACGAATATGTCTAAAAATTGGTATTTGTGGCTCATAACTGGTTCTAATGTTTACATTACCCTAAGGTGGAGGGTATTAAAAGTTCGTCCCGGCCGAACTTAATGTTTTTTTACTTTCCGAATGGAATATTGCGATATGTTCAGCTCACGAGCCATTTTTCGGCAACTGCGACGCGATCAGGTCGCTTCTTTACTTTTCGAACCATTTCTGCTGATGTTGCTGTTTTCTTCCGTCCACTTCCTTGATATATGTCGGGCTACGCTACCAGTATCATCTACCAGGTAACGAGCGATGGTATGAGACACAAAACATTTATTCACATTTAAATGCTGGCGTGCTCTAACGATAGCTACTTGTGGTTCTCCAGCCAAATATAAAGAAATTGCACCATCATGCTTGAGTTCCATTACGAATAACTTTTTTTCTGGAAAATTCTCCACAAAATGCTTTTGTACACTTGTAAACAATATATTGAGCTGTCACTGGAATAATTTTAACAGCTGTCGGACAAGTGGCTTAAAAATAGCAGCAGTCTGAAGTAGGTTTCCGTTTTTTTTTTCATCTCACCCTGTACATTGAAGTCCATATAGAGGTCTGTGTTTGGTATATATTTTGGAAACCTTCAGGTCTTCCATACACATTGTAAAACATGTTATTGAAAAATAGAAGCCCCCATTTATATAAGAAACCTCTTCTATTACCTTTCTTTCGATTGATGACCCCCATACATCTTCTTTGGTAACATAACCCCACTTTTGCACACTATCTCCAAACAATTGCCTGACAAAGTGCACAAAAATCTTAATTACTTAAGGATTCGACATGAAAGCAAAGCAATCGACACGCGCCGGGACTTATACCATTAACCACTTGTGGTTTAATTAATTTCATCTGGAACTCTCGGCGGAGTACGCCCACACGCAAGTGACAAATTTCTAATTAATATATTAAGTCCAAGAAAATACCTTTGCAAAATGTTTGTTTTTTTTTTTTTTTGTTTTCCTAGCAACAACAATAACAACAACAACTCATAATAATATATCTCTTTCTCTTTTTGCAGCTGATATTAAATTATTGTCACGCAAATTGTCACACTTTGACCCGTTGACGTTGAAAGTGCCACTCAAGGACGTTGTGTGCTACTTATCGCTATTGGAAGCTGGACGACCGGAGGATAAATTGGAATGTAAGTTGAAAGGAAGTTGATGCTTAAGTAGAATTATTAAAACCAGGGTAGCAAATGTGCTATGGAGATGGATAGAGTTCGGGGAAAAAAGAGTTTGTTACAAAGTATTGCATATTTTAGGGCACGTGTATTACAAAATAAGCAATAGGCATGGAGTGATCCTGAAGATGTTTACTTTATGTTACTTTAATGTGGTTCTGAAAGGCTAGATTACACATATGGTTAGAGTCATATGTAAGATCATTTTTTTCACAATTATCTGTAGCATAATTTTAGACGTTTCCCAGAATTTTTAATCTAATAGAAAACACTTTGTAGTGTAGAAAAATTTAATAAAAAAATAGTATTTTATTATTGTATTTTATAGTATAAAGTTTATATGGAATAGCGCTACCTTTAGGTTAAACAATTTTTTTTTTTTGGGTCATCCTCAAAGTATGCTATAAAATATGAAAAAAAGCTATTTAAGGGCAATATTACACATGATGCCAGAGTCATATGTAAAATTACTTTTTCCACAATTCGTTCACATGGAATCTTTAGGTTAGGCAATTCCTGGGAGCTCCTTAAAGTATGCTAAAAAATATAAAAAGGTCACACCACAAATAAATTGGAATGTAAACTGAAACGGAGTTGATATTTAATTAGAATTATTAAAACTGGGGTTGGAAATGTGCTATGGAGAAGGGTAGAGTGCGGGGAAAAAAGATTTTGTTACAAATTATTGCATATTTTAAGGTACGGGTTTTAAAAAGTAAGGAATGGGCATGGTGTGATCCTGTAAGAGTCTACTCTATGTTACTTTAATGTGGATCTTAAATGCTAGATTATACATGATGTAAGAGTCATATTTAAAATTAATTTTTCCACAATTCGTTTACATGGAACCTTCTGTTTAAGCAATTTTTGGGAACTCCTTAAAGTATGCTAAAAAAATTAAAAAAGAACTCCACAAATAAATTGGAATGTAAGTTCAAAGGAAGTTGAATTAGAATCATTAAAACAATTGTAGCAATGGTGCTATGGAGAAGGATAGAGTTCGGGGAAAAAAGATTAAGACACCAAGTATTGCATATTTTAAGGCACAACCATTAAACAACTTAGAGTGGGCATAACGTTCTTCTCTTCTCTACTTTATGTTACTTCAACGTGACTCTTAAAAGCTAGATTACACATGATGTTAGAGTCATATGTAAAATTCTTTTTTCCATAATTATATGTAGCATATTTTTAGACGTTTCCCAGAATATTTAATTTAACAGAAAAACCTTTGAAGTATAGTAAAAAGAGTCACTCCACAAATAAATTGGAATAAAAGTTAATACTGAATTAAATTTATAAAAGCAAGTGTAACAAATGTGTTCTGGAGAATAATAATCTTCTGGGTAAAAAAGTTTGCTACAATATATTGCATATTTTAAGGCACATGTATTACAAATAGGAATGGGCATGACGTTCTCTTGAAGACATCTACTTTATGTTAAGCTCCTATGTTTAGCTTTTAAAGGCTAAAATACACATAATGTTAGAGTTATATGTAAAATCCTATTTTTCCACAATTATATGTAGCATACTTTCAGACGTTTTCCAGAATTGTTATTTCTATAAGAAATCCTTGGTAGGCTAATAACAAATAATAAAAATATACTGAAAGTATAGGATAAATTTATAATTTTTAATAAATATTGGAGAATATACTCTTTGAATGACACAAGTCAACTACAGCATACTTTTAGGGGCAAGAGATTTTCCCAAAAAAAAAAATAGAATAATTTTAATTAATATATACGTACATGTGTCTTATTTTCCCCATTTTAGTTATGTTCCGCCTATATGACACGGATGGAAATGGTGTTTTGGACACAGCCGAAATGGATGCAATTGTGAATCAAATGATGGCTGTTGCTGAATACCTTGGCTGGGATGTTAGCGAGCTAAGACCGGTGAGTTATATCGAAATTAATACATTTATAATACCCTCGGACATATGGCTAGAGATGGCCGAAATATGCAGCCAAAACGTACCTAATCGAACAAAAGATTTTAGACCATAGGTTACTTTCGACTAAATCTGTTTCAGGACATTTGGAGTCGATCTAGTGATGTCCGTCTGTCTGGATGTGTGGTGCGCACAATAACTCTCGAAGGAGTATTAAATTTTGTCCAAACTTGGCACATCGTAATATTATTATCAAACTTAGATCGAGTACGGAGATGAACAATATCGGTGCACTCCATCTGGTACCTCCCCCACAAAAAGTAAAAACTTGCAAATAAAATATTTTGCCTCTTAGAACGAGAAAGGAGGATACGATTTAGCTCCAATTTTGCAAAACCTAATATTTCCATCAGTGCCATGGCAGATACGAAAATGGACAATATCTCCTACTCCATCAAGCACGTCCCCCACAAAGGGTACAACTTTTGTCTTATTATAACTCTTATAAAATGTGATGTAAGAGTCCGATTGCCTTCAAAATACATACATCATAATATTCTTGTTAACCCAAGGTCTGGTGGGAAGATGGAATATATCGGTCCACTCCTTCTGGTACCTCCACGGCAAAAGGGTCAAAATTTGAATATTCATGAAGCTTATAAAAAGCGAAATCAACTTCCAATTCCATGCCGACTTGGCACATCTCAATATTTCCACCAATACAAGATCTGTTAGAAAGATGGTACAAATCGGACCATTTACTCTGGTACCTCCCCCATAAAGGATCAAAGTTTTGAATAAACACAACGATTATAAAACCCGAAATAAGCACCCGGTTCTCTTCATATTTCACACATTCCATTATTTCTACTCACACAAGATCTGCTGCGATGATGGAATATATCGGTCCCTTCCTTCTGGTACCTCCCCCACAAAGTTGGTTAAAATTTTGAATATCCATGAAGGTCATAAAACGCAAATTAACATCCGATTCCATTCAGATTTGGTTCATCTCAATATTTCCATCAACACAAGATCTGTTATAAAGATGGCAGAGATCGAACCATTCCTTCTGGTACCTCCCCCACAGAGGATCAAAGTTTTGAATAACCAAAACGATTATAAAATCCGAAATAAGCATCCGGTTCTCTTCATTATTCCTACTAACACAAGATCTGTTGTGATGTTGGGATATTTCGGTCCACTCTCTCTGGTGCCTCCCCCGCAAAAGGGTCAACATTTGAATATCAACGAAGCTCATAAAACGCAAATTAACATCCGATTCAATTCAGACTTGGTACATCTCAATATTTCTATCAACGCAAGATCTGTTATAAAGATGGTAGAGATCGAATCATTCCTTCTGGTACCTCCCCCACAAAGGATCAAAGTTTTGAATAACCAAAACGATTATAAAATACGAAATAAGCATTCGATTCTCTTCATATTTCAGACATTCCATCATTTCTACTATCATAACATCTGCTGTGAAGGTGGAATATATCGGTCAACTCCTTCTGGTACCTAACCATGAAGCTCATATAAATCAACACATGATCTGTTATAAAAAATGATAAAGATCGGACCATTCCCTCAGGTACCTGCCCCACATAGGGTTCAAGATTTTGAAAACAAAACGCTCAAAGAAAGCGAAATAAGCATCCAACTACCTTAAAATGACACAAGCATAAACATTTTTACTACCACAAGATCTGCTGTAAAGATGATATGTATCTGCGAACGCCTTCTGGTACCTCACCCACAAAGGGTCACAATTTTCAATCAAATCCATGAAAAAATGTGGCAAAAATCATCAAAATACCGAATATCGGGATGTACCGTTATATGGGGACTTTCCCAAAACGTGGACGTATAGGTATATGCAATGTTTCGTCACCGGAGCTAGAACCCATTATGTTCTACAAATACCAATTTTCAGACAAACAATTGAAATAGAGTGCCAAAAATCATCAAAATACCGAATATCGGGACGTACCGTTATATGGGGACTATACCAAAACGTGAACCTACACCTGCAATGTTTCGTCACCGGAGCTAGAACCCATTATGACCTACAAATACCAATTTTCAATCATCCTAGACACAATACAAATTATTCTGCTAAATTTTGACGCTCTAAGTCAAATAATGTGGCCTGTATCGTGATTTCAATAGACAGACGTACAGACAGACAGGCGGACATCGTTAAATCGACTTAGAATTTTATGCTGATTATGATTATATATACATTAAAGGGGTCTACGACGAATATTTAGGGATGTTACAAACGGAATGACAAAGTTAATATACCCTCCTTTCCAAGGTGGAGGGTATAACAAAGTTAATATACCCTCCTTTCCAAGGTACATCTGTCGGCAAAACCGACTGATACTTTTTAATTTGTTGACATCATACAATTATTCATTCATAGATACTTCCATACATTATGAACGGAATATCCATTCAACCTCCCTCCTCCTCCCTCCCTCCCTCAAAATCCAGGATATTAAATCAGAATATTAATGAAAAACCAGTAAAGAAAGCCTTAAAGTCGGGCGGGACCGACTTTATGATACCCTACACCACTTTGCTAATTTAGTAGAGCTCTGCATAACAATAAAATTTTTTTATGGGAGAATTCAATCATACACGCCATGATTATAATTATAATTTAAAGTTCGGAGGACTAAATAGGCCGAAGCATTTGTATCTTTTAAATTCGGACTTGTATTGCCCATTTGGTGCACATGGAATCGGATAAAGATATATATGGAAGCTACATCCAAATCGGAACCGATCTCGATAAAATTTGGCAAAGATATTTCTGAGCCGTATTTGATATATTTCCCTGAATATCGTTGTTACGGAGTTCATATTACGGCTGTGGGTAATATATATAACAAATCGGATGAACACTATATATGGGAGCTATAGCTATATCTGAACCGATCTTCACCAAATTTGGCATACTAGCTTCTGGATTCAATTCGGTCGTAAGTGCGAAATTTCATCCCATTTAAGCTATATCCAAATCTGAACCGATCTCGATAAAATTTAGCAAATGTATTTCTGAGCTGTATTTGGTATATTTCCCCATATATTGTTGTTACAGAGTGCATATTACGACTGCGGAGGACAAAAATAACAAATCGGATGAACAATATATATGGGAGCTATAGTTATATCTGAACCGATTTCGATCAAATTTGGCATACTTATTTTCAGGTCCAATCTGATCGTACGTGCAAAATTCCATACTATTCGGACTGATATTACACGTTCGGTGCACAATAAAAGGCAAATCGGACGAAGATATATATGAGAGCTATATCTAAATTTTGACCGATTATCTCCAATTTCAATAGAGTTCGTCCTTGGGCCAAACAAATGATTTGTGCAAAATTTCATCTGGATAGGGTAATAAATGCGAACTGTACGTCGTTTATAAAAATACATGGACAGAGGGACAGGCGGACGAACAGACGGACGGACGGACATACATAAGTCGACTCAGAATGTGATTCTATGCAGATCATCAAAAGGAACTATGGATCTATCTCGTTTCCTTTTGCCTGTTACAAACAAATGACATAATATCCTGACCACCTTGTGGTGTAGGGTATAAATATTCCTCGTTATATTTGTAGATTTAATCGTTTTTTTAACAACTTTCCTCCAAAAATCTGCTATAATATTTTGAATCATCTCTAAACTAAGACTCCTAAAATTTGTTCTTACAAATGTTCTTCCTCAAAAATATCCAAATAAATCTTTACCAATTGTTGTTCTCATTCCTCTCTCAACAACAATCTCTACTTTAGTTTTCAATAAAAATGTCTCAACCCCAACAGAACTAACCCAATAACAATTAACTTAAATTTATACAATATATAGTCATTTTATTTTTATTACCAACAAAATGGAGCTAAAAGAAATATTCTGAGACAAACTAAAATCAAGAAGAAGAAGAAAACAAAAACAATTACAACAATTCATAGAAATAAAATTGTAATTCTGTCATACAAAGCTCATCAAATTCTATTACAGCTAATAAGAATGAAGAACTTAATTTCAACATTGCTTTATTATTTTATGACAAGGAAGCGGGAGTAGCAACAGCAACAACACCAACAACAGAAACAAGTCGCATTACACCACACCATCCCCAGCAACAGCTTTAATGTCTAAATCAGAGATTTACAAACAACAGCAGCAACAACGACAACCTTTATAACCTTTGTAAAAATCTGTTTTGTTATTCTGCCAAGAGTTTTGATTTCTTTTTCTATCTCTCTCTCGCTCCCGCTCTTGCCTGCCATTAAAACAAGCCGAGAATGTCAACATTCTTAAAGACAAGTCAAGTAAACACCGGAGGATGAAAGCAAGCAGAAGTAGAACATTTTGTATGATGTTACACTTCTTAAATGTGTCTCAATAGTTTGTCAGTCAGTCAGTCAGCCATTTAACCATCAACGGCCGTAGAGAAGGAGAGCAAACTCCTGTGCTAGATTTACTGTTTTTACAGCTACTTGGTAGACAAAGTGGATACGCTCAGCACACAGGTGTAGATGGTAACTTTTCCACGACTATGAGCACAGTGGTTGTCATAACATCAAGGAAAGAAAGGCCTATAGAAGAATGCATGAAGCTCAAATGAGGTATCCTATTCATGGTGGGCCAGTGGGAGGAAAACCTAAAGATGGTCACTTGAATGGTGACATATAGTACATCTTCTAGGTGACATAAAGGAGGTCTCCTGAATGGTGACATATAAGAAGTCTTCTAAGAGCGAGATTACGTATTTAAGGAGACCTCGAGGAAATCTTATAGCAGACCTATAGAAAGTTTTCTAGGGGACTTATAGGAGATCTTCTACCAGACATAATGGCGGGTTTCTCGGAGACCGTTGAGAGATGATCTATAGGAGGTACTCTAGGAGAGCTACAAAAGGTCTTCTAGCTGAATTATAGCAGATCTTCTAGAAAACCTATATGAGGTATTCTA